AGAACAGTAAATGCTTAGCTACACTGTAAGCATTTGTCTAGAATTTGACCTTGTCCAGAGTGGCTGCAAAGGTGGCTTCAGGTGGTGGCATCACCATCGGCTCACTGACTGTGCACTTCAGGGTCCTCATAGAGTTGTTAATAAATTAAACCGTTCAAATGCCCAAGCACAGTCTCTAGACACTTAAAAAGTGTCCAGTAAACTGGGTGGTGGTGGCACACACCTTTAATCCCAGCATTTGGGAGGCAGAGGCAGGTGGATCTCTGTGAGTTGGAGGTCAGCCTGGTCCTGGCCTACAAAAGGAGTTCCAGGACAGCCAAGGCTACACAGAGGAACCCTGTCTCATAAAACAACAACAACAACAAAGTTATTCAGAAAACATACTCGCCAACCCCGACCTTCTCTTTAGCGGAGGAGTGGGGGATGAAAAGCAATCAGAGCGAAAGGAAACCTAGGAAGTAGAAAGCACAGGCTTGACACGCAGGCTGCGAGCAGACTTCCCAGCCCGGGACACTGCACGGCTGCTGTCATTTAGGACATTTTCTGATGCAAGTCACAGGATATTAGGCAATTGAACAGTTTCAGGCACACCCAGCTTTTTTAGGATCTAAGCCCTCCTTGCGAAGGGTCCAGGGCCCTGCCCTGGGGCCTCTATTCTCCTTCATGTGAACCTTATCCCCCCTCAACTCCTTGTGCCCAGGGAGTGCCAACAGCTTGATACTTATCCTGTAGATTCTATGTGCCCAAGGCACGATTCTCACGTCTCGTGTATTTTGATGTGCACTTCTTAGAAGGATCCTTGATGGTAGACACTACCTTGGAGGCAGTAAAACTGAGTACATTAGCCCACGAGTCCATGGTTTATTAAGTCAGAGTCAGAGCTGGGATTTAGGCCCAGGGAGTCTGCTTTTCAACCACTTCTGTGCTGAAATGCTTCTTCTGGAAGAAGAAGAAAGAGTCCATCCCTTTGGGGAGCTAGCACACTGCAGGCAGGCTGTATTAGCCAGAGTTCCTAGGGGAACAGAATGGATAGAATGTTGTAGAATAGTAAAGATGTGTTACATCTGTTTATGTTGTGAAATATTACTATAACTATGTAAAGATATTTGTTTATGCTGCATTTGTTGCCTAAGGCACCTGATTGGTCTAATAAAATGCTGAATGGCCAATAGCTAGGCAGTAGAGGGATAGGTGGAGCTGGCGGGCAGAGAGAACGGGTGGGAGGAGGAATCGAGGTTCCAGGGGAAGAATGAGAGGACAAGGGAGAAAGAGAGGGAGACACATGGGGCCAGTCAGGCAGCTGCCAGGAAGCAAGACATGGAGTGAGGCATATAGAATGAAAGAGAGACAAAAAGCCCTGAGTCAAAACATAGATGGAGAGAAACAGGTTCACTGAAGTTAAGGAGCTAGCAAAAAGTGAACCTACGCTAAGGCTGAGCATTCATAACTCATAATCTGCATGTCAATGATTTGGGAGCTGGTTGGTAGCCCCAAGGGAAGCCTGCTACAATGGAACACACACACACGCCGACACACGCACACACACGCACACACACACACACACACACACACACACGCACACTTATAGGACGACTATATTTTAGCTTTATGGGAATGGATTATAGGCTGTGGCTCAGCTCGTCCAACAGTGGCTGTCTACCAATGGAAAGTCCACAGAGAGTCCAGTAGTTGTTCAGTCAAGGATGCTGGGTGTCTCCGCTGGCCTGCAGCATGTGCCAGAATCCCAAAGAAGTAGGCTCTAACTAATGCCAGTGAAGGAATGAACTTCCATCAAGAGAGTAAGCTGGCAACAAGGAAAACTTTCTTCTTCCCTGTTCTTGATCTGGGCTACCAGCAGGAGTGGCCCGGATTAAAGGTGGGTCTTCCCCCTCAAAAGATCCGGATCTAAAGAGGGTCTTCCTACTTCAAATGATGTAATTTAGGAAAAAACATCCCTCACTGGTGTACCCAGCTCTTTGGGTTTAAGTTAATGACGATATAGTCAAGTTGATAACCAAAAAGAGCCTTAGAGAAAGGCGCCATCTGATTGACCAGGCAGAGTCACCTCTCCGCCTTCGGAGTGGGCATGAGGAAATGCCAGCAGCTGTGGGAAAGTCTGGCCTGAGAGAAGGAAGGGAAGGCACCCTGTTCAGAGCCTGGTGATGGCCGCTTCATCACAAAACCGCTTCCCACACAACTGAGAAGAAACAAAGATTTGGGAAGTGAATGACAAGCTCGGTGTTCAGTGTGTAAGTTTGACATGCTAGAAAAATATTAACGCAGAGATTTGCCTCGCCGGAAGCAATGGCTCTTCATACTCGAACCAAGATACCTTTACTAAAAAGCTGAAAATAAAAAGCCAGGCAGACAATATTAGGTGAACGACAGACAAGAGCAGGGCCGGCAGCGCTTGTGAGGTCAGGGCAAACGCAGTGTGCAAGGCAGCTTCAGTGCAAGGGGGCAAGTGTGGACTGACACAGCAGACCACGCCAAAGACTGCAGGACTGCATGGGGCGGCTGTGAGCACTAGCTGCTCTTCCAGAGGACCGGAGTTTGGGTCCCAGAAGTCACAACCGCTGGAAACTCCAGCTCCGAGGAATTTAATGCCTTCTGATCTCTGCAGGCACACATACATACATACATACATACACACATACACACATACACGCATACATGCATACACACATACATACACACATACACACATACATACACACAAGCATACATATACATGCACATACATACACTTACGCGTACATGTATACACACATACATACACACATGCATACATACACACAAACACACAGACATACATATAGACACACAAAGACATATACATGCACACACACAGACACAAACATAGATATACACACTAGTGTTTAAATATGTAAATTCTGTAATCTCAGCCCTTAAAACAAACTTAAGGCAAGAAGAAATTCATAAGCATATAATTATACTGAAAAGTTTCAAATATCTTTCCAATGATTAGTCAGAATTAGTAGTTAAAAAAAAAGAAAGAAAATCCCTCAGGCTAACAGAATAATACATTTTGCTGGTCAAAATAATCATTCACGTGAACAAAATAATATAACTAAATGATTTAATATACAAAATATAAGGACTTCTTATGTTTCCACAAATAAAGAAAAGCATTTTTTTTCCTACAGAAATGAAAAAGTTGCCTGGGTACCATGATACTCGCCTATTAATGCAATATGCTGGAGCCCCAGAAGGAGGCTTGTTAGCTGGAGACCAGCTTCGGCTGTGCGGTCAGTTCAACACTAGCCTAGGCGATAAGCTAAGATCCTGCCTCAGACTTAAATAAGTAAATATTTGTCTTTAAATGTTCATATTTAATAGCCTGGTTCTTCCAAGAGCTTTAACAACATTAACAACAAATGCTTAGGTCACAATCTGAAAATTATAAATACACGATCTAAAAATCTTTCATAGTTCAAAGGAACAAACTAAACTCGTATGAATCATAGGTTACATGGAGATAAAAGAACTCTCACTGCCCAGAGGAAGCCACTGAGAACATGAAAAGTCTTCCCGATTCAAAACTAAAAACACCGACAGAGGAACTAAGCCATCACTTCAAACCATCCAAAGACGTGATATCCGAGTCAACGCCAGAAAAACTCGGAATAAATGAAACAGAGAAGGAAAGAAAGGGCTAAGGAAAGTCGGAGCAGTGGGACGGATTTGAAACAGCCTAAACACTTGCCAAACAGACTCCAAGTTTAAAGACGGAAGTAAAGGAGAGTGAGACAAAGCGCAGCCACGGGCATTTGGGAGATTTAAAGAATCAGGACACTCACGAGAGACAGTTAGATGCCAATGGCTATGAAGGCGGAGAGGAAATACAGGATAATTTCATAGCAAAATATGATTAACATTGACCCTAGAAGTGGGAAGAATCATGAGTGGACAAATCGTCGCAGAAAAAAAAGGCAAAAATGCAGTTGTAAAATAACAACGGGAACAATTCTGCAGTGGGAGGAACACTACAGCATGGAAAACCACAGGAAAGGGGAAAAGCATTAAATATGAACTAATGGTTTAAAATAGATCTCCTTGTTCAAGGTTTATTCAGACTTAAAAATGTATGTTTAGCCACCCTATCTTTGCTAACTTTGTTGCGTTTAAGCTATCTGGATAAACTGAGTTATAAGTCTTGTATTGCTACTAAGAGGTTTGGACCTCCTCTTCTGGGGAAAGAATGTTGTCTCGGTGTCAATCGCTCTGGGGTGATTAGAGATTCAATGGCCTTGTTAACCATAGAGAACAGAACTCTCACAGAGAAGCTGGATGACCAGCTCAACTGGTCTCCTTGGTTACCAACTGGTCTCCTTGGTTACCAACCTCACTTTCAGCTCTAACAGGCCCCTAATGATCTTCCTTCTTCTTATCAACAGACTTGATGGCTTTTGTTTGAGAACGGGTCAATACCGTTCAACTGATGGTACTGAGGTTTCAGTATCACCCCCTTGAGCCCCTGGACATCATTGTATTTATGAAGGAGGAAAAATGTAGGGCCCAGGGCAGCTTTCCCAGGGCAACTTGGTACACACCTGCCAAGATGGGTTCTATAGATCAGCAGGAAGGTAGACCTGAGTCTCAGTTTGCCCTAGGGCAATGCCAGCTCTTAGACTCCCTCCTGTTCCCATTTCACCCTGGGACCTGTTCCTTGCCTTTGCAGGAGACAGCATTAACAGCTAGATATAAATTTGTTCTGTGTTTACCCTTGGAATGACTAATTCAGTTTCTTTATTAGCTTTAATTCAAAATCAGTAGAGTGTGGAGTTCTAGTCTTGTGAAAGCTGGTAACTTATTAAAGACTGTTAGGAAATACAAGTCAATCATCTTTAAAACACTGATATAATTAGTTACAGGAATAAGCCTTATTTAGTTCCCTGTATATGTTTTCAAAGTCAAACTTAGAACAAATAATGAGAAACAAAGTTTGTCTAATCAGACATACCTAGGCAGCCCTCATACTTCAGAGATCTGCAGAATACGGCATTTAAAATAATGATTTAAAAGCTTATTATATTAGACAGAGACTTCAAGATCCTAGCAGAAACCCAAGGTCTCCAAAGAAGATTATGGGACACCATGATGTCTCCACCTAGGTTACGACAACGCTGACCACTAGGCAAGATGCCCCAGTGCAACACCAGCTGCCAGGACTCAGTCCAGACTGTGGGCAAACAGCAGGACCTTGGAGAATTGATTGCACCAATTTTGCCTAGACAAAATAAGGTCAGTCTTTTCCATGTCCCTCTTCCACAGAAAAATTATAAATTCACCTTATGGGCTTTCAACAGTAAGACTGCTGTTCTGGATATTTCTGCCTCCAATGCGATGGCGACCTGGGTATGACGGACTGTATATGGATGGACTCTGGTCCCTGTCATTTTTAGTAGATTCAGAAACTATTTGGTCTGTACCCAGATACACTTTATTTATCCTTCTAGGGTCTCTGATAGTATTGATGGCTAGGGCAGTTATAATGTCAGTTTAGCAGCAACATGTATCCAGATCCTTCCACAAAGGTATAGTCAACTTGTTAGCTCATCCTGAGGCTACCATACATGGTTCTCTGGACAGCAGAAAAATATACACGCTTCTAACCAAAATCTGGAGTTTTTGCTAGGACTCAAAGGTTTGAGTCTATTCCTTCTGTTTACAGATACCTGCTATCTGCTCTTTTTCTACAATATGGGTTTTTGTTTGAGTAAATAAACTTTAATTTCTGTTTCTAGTTTAAACTCATCTCAATAGGCTTCCACTTGGCTGGCAGATGCTATCTAAGCATCAGTTGCTGACTATAACCTGCTCTGAATGGTGGTGAACTCTGAACTTCCTGAAAGCTGATGTGGACCAGTCCAGCTGATATGAATGCTCCCTGTCCCTTTAATGGAGTCTGGTGAGTGCCACATTGTCTGAATTTCCTCCTTACCTTTGGCTGGCCTTTCAACATGCTTGGGCCTGGATAATAATGCCCCAATGTCAGCTTGAAGTAGTTGCAGAAAGGAACACGTTGTCCCATGCTCCCTGCACAGAATAGGTTGAAAGGCTGAGACAAGGGGGAACTCCCTAGCATGGGGACAAGATAACCACCTATAGTGCCTGTTGATATAGCAGAAAAATAGATTCAGAGTTCTCAATTAATGGATTTATTAATTTAAGTAGTTCCATACCTTCTTAAAACCAGGGGCAAGCAAGCAGGACCCAAGATTGGGTCCTGTCATTGGTGCTTATGAAGGAGGAAATACAGGAGCCAGCCAGGATAAGCTAAATATGAACAGATCACCTGAAGGAAGTTCTTTACTTCCAACCATGATCACCTTCCAGAGTAGGACTCAGTCATTGATAAGTTTAATAGAGGCCTGAGTCTCAGTAGTTTACCCTAAAGTAATATCTGGTTGCAGGAAGTACCATAAACTAAGATTACCTGAGCACCACCCAAAAAGAGACCATCCAAATAAAATGCCTATTATTCCAACCGCTGTAGATAGGATCACCTGCCAGGACACACTCACCAGGACACCCCTAGACAAATGTCAGCCAATCAGGGGTCTGACTCTGAACTGGTAGTTGATAGTTATTCATTACAACTGTTGCAGGTCTTTCATCGACCTTTCATTGGGGCCGCCACCATCTCCCCAGTAATACCATGGAGACTTATTATCGGTTATGAGAGCTTGGCTTTCAGCTTAGGTTTGTTCCCAGCTAGCATTTATGACTTAAATTACCACTTCTATTCATCCACATTCTACAATGTGGGTTTTTTTTTTTTAAAAACATTTCCTTCATTCCGCAAAGCCAACTCCCTCCTCTTTATCTACCTTCTAACCCTCTGAGTTCCTCTCTCCACCCGGAAGTCCCGTCTAACCTCTCATGCTTAGCCACTGGTAATTCCTCTCTTTATTAGACTAATCAGAAGGTGCTTTAGGCAGAGACACATCTTTACAGTGTGCAAAAAGATTATTCCAGTAAGAATACAAACTCGCTTTATGATTTTGGCTTGCTTCCTTGCAGGGGCTGAGAATCAGGCCTTGACTATGTTAAACGAGCACTCGACCATGGATCTACATCCCTAGTACACATGTGATTTCATGATCAAAATTGCAAATAGGACGTTGCCATCTTATAAGTGTCTTTATTCTAGTGAAAGAATATAAAGTAACGGACAGGCAAGGTTTATATGAGAACTGTGAGGGTGGTTTGGAATCAGAACCCCATTACTGAGGCCATCTTCCCATTAAACTAAAGAAGAGAAAATGCCAGTTGGACCCAGAATAAATCCCAGTGGTAGAGTGCTCGCTTAGCATGTGTAAGGCCTCGGGTTTGATCCCTCAGCACTGCTAATGTAAAATAATTAATAATAATAAAAAGCAAATAAGGACTGGAGGTGTGGCTCACTGGGTAATAATGCTTGCTTCACAAGCATGAGGAGCTGAATTCAGATCTCATACAAGGATCTGGGCGCCCACATGAGCACCTGCAACAGCAGTGTTCTGGGAGGGTAGAGATAAGAGCATCGCTGAGGATTCCCGTCTATCAACCTCGCTCTGACCTCAGGGGAGTCAAGTGGAGAGTGTGCTGGAGAAGGAAACCCAAGGTCCTGCTCTGGTTCTGAGTGCTTGCCTGGGTGTGTGCACCTGCACACACACACATGTATATACTGCGTGTGTACACACACACACACATATACAAATACAAGGTAAGATTGAAGGAAAATTGTTAAAATTCAGCAGTCATTCTTTAAGAACTTTTTTAAAAATTTGTTTATCAGGTCAGAGATGGTGACACAGGAGGCAGAGTTCAAGGCCAGCCTGGTCTGCGTATGGAGTTCCAGGACAGCTAGAGCTGCATAGCAGATAAATCCTACCTCAAACAAAGAAAATCATTTATTTGTGTGTGTGTAGATGCTATGGTACATTATCAGGCAGAGGACAACTTGCAGGAATTGATTCTTTCCTCTCATTGTGTGGGTTATGGGGATTGAACTCAGATGGTCAAGCTAGGCACTAAGTGCCTCTGCCCATGGAGCCCTCCGGATGGCCTTCAATGGCCATTGTTTTTTTATAGTTTTTAATTATGTGTAAACATGTGTGTCTACGTGTGAATATGTACACATGAGCTCAGGTGCCTGCAGAAGCCAGAGGCATAGGATCCCCTGGTACTGGAGTTACAGGCAAGCTCTAAACAATGACCAGTCTTAATAAAAAGTATAAGGAGGTATAGGAGGAAATGATTCAAATAGGCAAAAGCCCTACTTTCTCAAAACAGTAGTGAATACTATATTAGAGAAACAGGTAGATACATGCCAGTTTTAGTCAAGAATCAGATAACTGGGCCGCCATTATAATCCTGTATTATTTAGGATATTTTGTGAATGAAATATGATGACACTTGAAGTAATAAGCCTGAAGATTGGGAGTGAAGAAATATGTATCTTTTGATAGGGATATGTATTCAAAAAAACAAGATGATTCAGAAGGAAAACCAAACAGGCACATTCTGAGAGTGTGGTAAGGTGGAAACACACTGGGCAAACACACACAACAACAGTCTGTTCAACTTTAACAAGAACCAGCTAAAAACAGGAACGGGGCTGTATATTGTTTATAATATTCACCCAAAGAGTAAATACTAGGAAGAGTTGGACTAAGAAAGGAACACAACACTTACCTTGTTAGAAGACAGGGCTCAGCATCTGTCTGGGAAAGCCGTGTCTGAGGGTGAGAGATCCTATAGCACATAAAAAAGGCAAATCTCTCAAAATTGGGGCCATGCAATTCTTAAGACAATGAAAGAAAGTTTTGCTTTTTGTTTTTTTCTCTGCGGAGCTGACGAGAATGATCCAAGAATTCACCAAGGAGAAGGGACGCTCAATACCGGCTCAGGTGACCATGACAAGTGGTGGGGGTGATTTTTCTCTGCCACACAGTCAGAAACAAAGGCTCCAGCTATCAGATCAACTGAGATGGGAAACTTTCATTCAGAAGGAAAGGGATGGCCAACGTACTCAATAGCCTACAGAGAGGGGGAAAAACTTTGCCAGACAGACTTCAGAAATCGAACTGATACCTGGAATGTATAAAGGACTACAAAAATTAAACACCAAAAACTACACTGCCAATCACTAAAAGGTCCGATGAAATAAACAATTCTTAAAAAATAGTACAGATGACCATGAGATGTTTTCAAAGGTGTCCACCATCTTTGGCCCTCAGAAACATGTAAATTAAAACTACACTGAGACTGTCTCATCCCAGTCAGGATGACTGCCACCAAGAAACATGGACAAGGATATAGAAAAGAGACTTTATTCACCACAGCTGAGCGCAAACTGGGGCAGCCGCTATGGAAATCAGTGTAAAGCCTTCTCAAAAAACCAAAACCCGTGCTGCTGAGAGGGCTCACTGGGTCAAGCTCTTGCTGCACAAGCCTGGTGGCCTAAGTCTGATCCCTGCTGTCACATGAAGTCACACGGAAAGGACTCTCTCTCCTAAACCCAAATAATAATGATGATAATAAAGATGATGCTGATGTTGATAATGATGATGATGGTGGTGATGATGATGATGGTGATGATGATGATGATGGTGATAATGGTGGTGGTGATGGTGATGATGATAATGATGATGAGGAGGAGGAGGAGGATGGTGATGATGATGAGGATGGTGATGGTGGTGGTGGTGATGATGATGAGGATGATGATGGTGGTGATGATGATGGTGATAATGGTTGTGGTGATGATTGTAACATGAAGGGGCCTGCTTGTTCGGATTTCTGGCCTGCCCGGCCCCACAGCTGTTTAGTCCCAAAGTAAAATCACATTGGAGATCTCTATAAGTTATAATGCTGATTGGCCCATTAGGTCAGGCTACTTATTAGCTAACTCTCATATCTTGATTAACCCATTTTTCTGATCTATGTTAGCCATGTGGCTCAGTACCTTTTTCAGTGGGGCAGCTCACATCCTGCTGCTTCGGTGATCTGGGCAGGGGTGGGAGGAATCAGCTTCCTTCTTCCCAGAATTCTCCTGCTCTCCTTGCATTATTTCCACTTCCTGTCTGGTTTTCCCGCCTACACCTCCTGCCTGGCCAATCAGCATTTATTTAAAACATGATTGACAGATTACAGACAATTCTCCCACAGATGATGATAATGATGATGTGGAGGAGGAGGAGGATGGTGATGATGATGTGATAATGATGATAAAGATGATGATGAAATAAGTTATATTGTCCCTTGCTAAGCCATGAGAAAATGTTTTCATAGAAAACATTGAAAGGATTGTGAAGTATTTCAGCCTTTTGGGTAAAGAATATAATATTAATAACAAAATTAAAGTTTATGAAATGCTTGAAAATGTCACACATTTTCATTAAATATATTAGCTTTCTTTGGAAAAGGGAAAGTATCTCCCTATTAAATAAGAGATTCACTCTGTGGGATCAGGGTTGTTCTGCAGGCTGGAAACAGATCAGGAGCCCAGAGCTGCCTGCAGCCCCTACCTTCAGAGTTTACACGCCCAGATCCCTGCCTTTCTCAACAGTAAGCATGGACACATGTTTTCCTTCGGAAAGAAGCTGATATCTTAGACCTGGTTGGGGGTGACAGACACGTGCTGTCTGACCTGGGTGATAAACACTGGCACCAGTCACACGATTGGATGAAGCTGAAATCCAACAGTCACGTGTTCAGCTTTTGTGAACAGACACCCAGCGGACTTGGTGTCTCCCCAGAAGCCAGGGTGAAATGAGAAGAATTCAAGGCAGTGCTCCCAGCTGGCTGCCAGAACACCACCATTAGACTAACCAACGCATGCTTACAGCTGGACTGGCTTTAGCAGAAGACAGAGCTTCTGACATTTTATTTCCATGACAGTACTGGGAAGCCCAAGTGGTGAGGGGAAGAGACTGCCAAGAGTCTAGGGAGGTGGGTGCCAGGGCTTCCTGCTGGAGAGAGAATTAAGGTTGTGAAAGTGAGTGAGTCACTGAAGACAGACTCCCAGGACTTAGGACTCAGGCCCAGCAGTGGCATTCCTTACCGACCACGTGACTTTCTGTAAGCCTTTTAATGACACGCCTGTTGTTGCCACATGCGGTATCTGCATGAGGAAATGTGTGGCCAGCAGGCTCTAGGCAATGAGGGACTTTCATGAAGGAAGGAGCCGCCTGAGAATCCAACACTGGGGTTAGATTCACCTCCTCACCTTACCAACAGACATTTCAACACATCCCGTAGCTCAGCCCTTCCGTGACTTCCCTGCCGCCCAGAGGCTGCATATGCCACGCTCCTGCACAGGCGGCTGCCATTACAAGTTCACATGTGTTGTGGAGGTAATTCATGCACACCGGTGTCTACTTGTCATGATATTTAATGTCTCCTATGTGCCTGTTGAATATCCTTTCTTCTTCAAATCAACTGACTCTGGATAGCAGTTAGAGGCGGCCACACCTTGGACTGTTCATTGTGCGTTCTCCACCACTCGATCCATGCTACTGACAGTCTAAGTGAATTTGGTAGATGTGCACTGAGTATCCACCACGTACCCTAAGGAAGCAAGACACAGCCGTTTGACTCCCTGTTAAAAGTTGGTAGCTGGTACCCAGCGTACGCAAGTGGGAACAGCTGGCCTGGGCAGGGTATGGTCAAAGAGGAGGAAACAGAAAACCAAACCATGTTTAAAGGCAGAGCTGTAGAGAACTTTCACAAAAGGCTGGCAATGCCGAAGCTTTAGGGAGCAAAGTAAACACAGCGCTAGAAAACCCCCAGAGGAACTGTGTGTAACCAGTCACTGCCTAGAGCCACGGTTTAAATTAAGTGGCGGTGCTGTTAGATAAAAACATTCTCTAGGGTTCTAAAGATCTGAAGAGGGCAAATGTAAACATTTAAAACCCACCCGCCCTCTTTAAAGAACCCATCATTTGTGTCCATTGCCACTGAACCATCATTAAGCTGTTCATAGGCCAAAGAGAAAAGGCTGGGAATTTTCCCAGCAAGTAACCCAAACCCGGGAACCCAGCAGACAAAAACACCGGGCGTGGTTGGTGCCTGAGAGGCACTTCGTTCACAGGCTACACACACATACACACAGGCACACACGCACATACGCATACATGCACACACACACATACACATGGCAGGTAGCATTCAGCAGTCACCTTGATTTGCCCTTGTAGAAAGCATGTCAAAGTCAACAGGGATCCCAGCATTTTGTCTCCCTGTTTAATAACTTACTCGCAAGGTTTCATGGTGCGGGCAGCCTTATCTTCTCTTTTCTCTGTTTTTTTTAGAGGCACGCTTTCTCTGTGTAGCCCTGGCTGTCCTGGAACTTGATCTGTAGACCAGGCTGGCCTCAGACTCACAGAGATCCCCCTGCCTCTACCTTCTGAGCACTGGGATTAAAGGTGTGCGCTGCCACTGCCCGGCATAGGCATTCATGCAAAGACCAGTCTTCAGCTTTGCTTTATGTAAGTTTGGAAGACATTCTGTTTCCATTTAATCATACAGATTTGTTCTGCGAAACTTCCAGAAGTGACACAGACACCACCAGTCTGTTATGGGATTTAAAAGCACTTCATCACACGGTGACTTTGTTGTCTTGTTCCAGTGTATGGTAGAGACTTCAACAAAATATCTCTCTTGCATAGTTTCCTGTTGATAATTTAATGGTGTCAGTCATATTCATGCTGTGCCTTTGTTAGTTCTCACTCCTGGGACAAACTGGCTAACTGAGGTACCAATTAGCATATCAACATGGACCCTGGCTGCCAGGTTCTCCCAGCATCCTTCAGTCCCTACCCGTTACCGGGTACTCCTGGCTGGCATGTTGGGTGCTGTATCCTGAACTCTCCAGCCCAGGGCCTGTGCTGCCCCTCCCCCAGCTGCTCTTCTCTATGTAGTCCAGCCATTTTGGCTATGACAACCTTCTGGATCCTTCCACTCTCTCAGCCGGTTTCTTGGCCCAGGCCCCTCCTCTTGGTCGGCAGCTCCTCTCTCCCTCGGCCCAGTCTGGACTCTTCCAGAGGCCTCTGACTGTTCTCTCCTTCACATCTGCAGTAAAACCTCTCCCCCACGGAACTAGGAGCATCATGTCCTTCGCCGTCCATCTCTAGAACTTTTCTATTTTGCTAAACTGAAACTATGTCCCTTAACCGGCAGCTTCTCTAGGCCCAAGACAAGCGCTGGCGGTTACAGTTTCTAATGGGCTGTATTGTGTGGCATGAGTGACTTTAACACAGCCCTGGGAAGCCAGAGCCTGGAATCACTAAGCACACATGGAAATCAGGGTGGGCAGGCTGGTGGAAGTGCTCAGTGTGTGGAGTCATTCTTTCGCCAAGCCTGGCAGCCTGAGTTTTGTCTACCCATACCAACATGGCTGAAGTGTTGTTTGTAGGAGCCAGCCATGATAAACTAAATATGAACAGATCACCCGAAGGAAGTGCTTAACTTCCAACCATCATCACCAGCCAGAGTAGGACTCAGCCATCAATAAGTTTATGGAGGCCTGAGTCTCAGTAGTTTACCCTGAAGCAATAGCTGGTTGCAGGAAGGACCATAAACTAAGATTACCTGAGCACCACCCAAGAACAGACCATCCAAAGGAAATACCTAACATTCCAACTGCTGTAGACAGGACACACTCACCAGGGCACCCCTAGACAAATGTCAGCTAATCAAGGACCCTGAATCCCAGAAACCCATCATTCCCACCTCTACTACTATAAAAACCCAACTCTAACTGAGCTAGGGGCTCTCTGTTTATACTAATACACTGGACATGCGGAGAGACTGAGTTTGAAAACTTGCATAAAATAAAGGTTCTTTGCTTTTACATACAGGACTTGGTCTCCTTGTCGGCTTTTGGAAGGACTTCATGGATTTGGGCATAACATTGTTTACCCACACCAGCATGGCTGAAGGGGAAAACTGACTCTCTTGCGGTTGTCTTTTGACCTCCCAATGTACAATAAATAAATAATAGAGAGACTGAGTAGATGACCATTTGATTAATCCACATAGTTAGGGACTTGATACAACCCTAAACAGAGAGAAAACAGTCACGGGGTGGCTTAGTCAACCCCTGAAGGCAGACAAGTTCAGACACAGGTAAAGCAATTTGGTTCTCTAGCGTCAGCCGGCCGCTTGCAGTTCAACAGCTAGAGGGAACGCGGAGGCGACTTAGGTCCTCACTCACTAGAGAAATGCTTGTGGAAGACACATGTGGCAATGGCTAGGATTTCACACTCATGCAAGAAAAGCTAAGGGCCAAGGCAATGGGCCCATGGGTGCCATGCTTGCTACCCAAGTATGAACACCTGAGTTTGGATCTCCAGCATCCACGTGAAGAGCTGGGCATGGGAGTGTGTGCCTGGACTCCCAGCAATGAACAGGTGAGGTGGAGACAGGACGCCCTGGAGCTTCTCGGTCAACCAGTCTAGCTCAGCCAACTCCAGGTTCAGGGAAAGACATCTTGAAAAATAAGGTAGGGTGAGTAAGGAAAATCCACACATACA